TTGCGGAGATGTTAGCGCGTCTCTAATAAGATCGGTCACAAACATGATCACTGCACGATCTAATGTGTAGTGTCTTATTAACTCACTGTCATGCATTGTGTGCAACACATTTCTTCTCCCTCTTCACGTTTCGTCCATTTTCTCCTCTGCTAAAGAATCTCTAGATCACTTCCGGCGCTTGCGTAAACTACGCCAGACCGCGTACACACCTCACGCACCGGATGCCTGCGCGCGCGCAAAGACAGTAACTATCCCTTTAAGGGTTAAGATGCTTTCTGAATTACCTTTTTCTTTACTAGGATCTTTTCTTTAATTTTAAGAGGAAACGCCACACATTTCTAAGAATTTTCTTAGTGCTAAGAGTTGCTCCTAGTAACAAAATTCTAAGATTTTTCATGAATAGGGCCCAGGTGTTTGTTGCCGTGGAGATTCTGCTCAGCTGTAAGATCATGCTGATGGGAATGAGTGACCCGGATGGAGTTTACAACTTCCTGTCTAACGTGAGCCGCAAACATCATTCATTCAGTTACATGTAATGGCAAAAATGGGTTTGTTTACAGAAATGCTCTGGGTTCAATACATGTTAATTAATGTACTTAATCTTTACATTATGACCCTTTTCAAGTAAATGTTTTATTTTAATATCTTTTAAATCCTCCAGTACTCTCATCCCATAGACTTTCACTAATTATTTTATCATTTAGTTGATTATTATTATTGATATTATATTATTTTATTACATTGATTTTATAAAATAACATTATTTTATTACTGTTATTATTATATGAACTACAGTTTTTTTAATTGTGGGACAACAAATATTTTTTATTTGTTTCATTTTATTTTATTAATTCAATGAAGTAACATTATTATTATTATTATTATTATTATATGGACAACCTGTTTTAATTGAGGAACAAGGAATTACTTTATTATTTTTTATTTTATTAAAATATTACATATTTATTTTATTTGAACTACTGTTTTTTAATTGAGGAATAAGGAATTATTTTATTATTATTTTGTATATTAAATACTATTATTTCATTTATTATTATTATACGAACTACCGTTTTTTAATGATGAACAAGGAATTTTATTTTATTATATTAAATATCATTTTCATTATTATACTGTTTTTTTAATTGAGTAGCAATGAATTTATTTTATTATTTTCGTTTATTTTATTAATTTTTTTATTTATTTTATTAATAATATTAAATAACATTTCGCCACAAATGATGTTGAATAGAATATGAATAAATAGAATAAAATAAACCCAGAAAATTCATTTTTCTGTTGTTTCTGTAATTTAATTTTTTTTATTTTATTTCATGTTTTTATGCACCTACATAAACATATAAATGTTGCTAAAGTGCTTCTGATCTCTTCCTCTCTCTCCGTACAGCTGCTGCAGGAGAACACAGCGTCACTAAAGCCATCGATCTGTCAAACACTGAATACACAAGTACATGCACTCTGTATAATTCACTTCTGAGTTTCATGTGTGACCGACTCGAAGCACTCAGATGTGGACGACAGCACCGTCAGCTGTGTGTCTTTTATTAGGTTGGTTTACATGAGAATCTGCATACATCATTCAGGAGTGACAGTACGGTTCACGACATGCCTCCCGCTCTCTGAGCCAATAGCAGCAGCGGAAGAGAGAAACGCTAGCGACTGGAAACAGAAACACATCAATCATTCAAAACATGACGACGTCTGCTCTTCTGTGAGACGAGTCAAAAATACAGTTCCAAACCTGTATGAATTCATATGATCTGGAAAAGTGCTTAAAAGTCTCTAAAATCCCTTTAATAACCCACAGAAGAAAAAAATAAGATGTAGGTTTGGAACAAATGAGGGTGAATAAATAAGTCAGAGATCTGAATCTTTTAAGTGTGACAAATATGCAAAAAATTTTAAAAAACCAGGAAGGGGGCAAAAACCTTTTCATGGCACTGTATATGCCCTGCCAATGTGTTCAGTATCAAAGTCTGGTAAAAATATTTATAAATAATACATTAACATAAAAACATCTCAGCACACATTATTACAGTGGTAACACGTCACAATATGGTCTCATTTGTTAATTTATGAACTAACGGTGAGCATTTGTACAGCATTTTGTCAGTGTTCGTTAATAAAAATACAATTGATCGTTATTCATGTTAATTCACAGTGCATTAAGTAATGTTAACAAATACAACTTAATATAAAAAAATGTAAGTATTAGTAAATCTTAAAATTTACGTTGTAATTGCATTACAAGGAATTATTTTTGTTAAATTTTATTATATCATCTAAAGTAATTCCTTGTTATTCATAGTTTAAAAAACAGTTCATGTAGTAATAATAAAATAAATTAAATAATTTCTTGTAATGCACTTTGGTAATACAACTTTTTTTACTAGTAAATTGTGAAATCAACATAAACTAGGACTAATAAATGCTGTAGAATTGCTAGTTCATGTTTTAACTAACCTAGTTAACTAAAGTTACCAAATAGAACTTAATTATAGTTAACATGAACTAACAATTCTACAGCATTTATTAGTTTTAGTTTGATTTAATTTGAATAATTTCCGTACATTTTGAAAAGTCGTATTTGCTAACATTGTTAATATTATTACTATTATTATTAAAATAAAATAAGTAATTTCCTGTAATAATTAATAAGTAATAATTCTTTGCACTTACAATGTTAATTTAATACACAATAGATTCTATAGACAATAGAAAAATTAACAACAGACATTTTTAAATTAAAAGTTGCGTTCATTTACATTAGTTAATATAATTATTAAAATAAAATAATTCCTTTTACCTCAATTAAAAAAAACAATAGTTCATGTAATAATAATAATAATAATACAATTAAAATAATTCCTCGTTGTACACTTACAATGTTAATTTCAAGATTTACTAATGCATTTGTAAAATTAAACATTGTATTTGTTCACATTAAATAAAGCACTGTGAACATGAACAACTGTATTATTATTAAACGTTGTAACAAATATTACACATTAGTTCATACATTAATGTTAACAAATGAGACCTTACTGTAAATGTTACTGTTGCTATTTCTGTATGATCACTGTGAATAAAATACAAAAACAGAATGAATGTAACACTGATTATTGTGATTCCCTTGACTGTTTTGGTTTTATTTTGGCAACGTGACGCCCTGTAAAGTGGGCGGAGTTTAAAGGGTCGCCCAACACTTGATCACATGACCTGCTGAGCACCAGTGAGCGCATAACGAGACGGAGGAGGAACAAGAACCTGGTTTGAAAACACTCAACAGGACTCGTGTACAAACAATCACGCTATAACACATTATTGCTCTGATCTGCATGAGCCCGTCAAGATCGCCTCCTGTGATTGGTCAGCAGTGTGGGCGTGGCAAACGTTGCTTTTTTTGTTATTGGTTAAAGATGTTCTTGGGTTTTACGACTTGAAACAGCACAAACAGCATTAGGAACGCCAACATCATGGGTTTGATTCCCAGGGAATCAATGAACTGGTAAAAATAAATATTTAAATGCAATGGATAAAAGTGTCTGGCAGATGCATATAAATTCAAATTAAGCAGGAAATATGGAATTAAAGGAATAGTTCTCCCAAAACTGAACATTTACTCTCCCTCAGAGCATCCGAGATTCAGAGTCCAAACAGCTGATAAAAACATCACAATAATCCACAAGTAATCCACAGCTCTCCAGTCCATCAGTTAACATCTGGAGAAGACAAAAGCTGAAACAAATCCAGCATTAAGACCTTTTTAACTCAAATATGAGTCCATAACAATTCCTCCAGTGAGAAAGTCCATCCAATATTTGTTTAGAGCGGTTTAAACGCTGCTTGATCTGTGCAGATTTCTCTCCTGATTCACACCAGAACACTTTTTCACTGCAGGAAGTGTTATTGTGGATTATGAACTCGTATTTGAGTTAAAAAGGTCTTAATGATGGATTTGTTTCAGCTTTTGTCTTCTCCAGATGTTAACTGATGGACTGGAGTGCTGTGGATTACTTGTGGATTATTGTGATGTTTTTATCAGCTGTTTGGACTCTCATTCTGACGGCACCCATTCACATCCATTGGTGAGCAAGTGATGCAATGCTACATTTCTCCAAATCTGATGAAGAAACAAACTCATCCTAATCTGGGATGACCTGAGGGTGAGGAAATGTTCAGCAAATGTTCATTTTTGGACAAACTGTTCCTTTAAAGACGGTTATATTTAGTGTGTAATAATGTGGTTTGCACTCATTGGAAAAGTCTTTTCCATTTTTGAAAACTAAAAAGGACTGGAATAGTTTCTCAGTTACAAGTAGAAAATCAACTACATCGTCTGCTGCATTAAAAACCATCGCCTGGGAAAAAAAAAACAAAAAGAGAAATTCATGGCGAAGAGCACGTAATATCTCAGTTTTTGTCAAAATATACAGAAATATCCGTACACAGACAGATCGTCAGCTCGTCCGTGTCCACTGGGCTGTCGAGAGTCCAGCGTTCCTGCGTGCGATTCCTGATCAAAACGAGCAGCAGAGAGTCTGTTCAGTGTCCATTAAAGAAGAACGGCTCCAAACGAGAGACAGAGTTCACTGATGGACTGTAGCCGCACTACGGCCGATGAAACCTGCCGAGAACGCAAGACCGCTTCAGAATGACAATATAGCATGCATGATGCCCATCCCACAATGCAATGTGCTTGACCATTTAATTCAATCTGACAGAACTCAAAAGAGCTGCATTTTTAACAGAATTTTAAATAATTGTTTTTTGATCAGAGTGCCAAGAGTGAAGCCATATTTACATTTAGTAATCTAGAAGTACTAATCTAGTGTTTACGAATATGAATGTCTTTTGTGATGCGATTTTTGTACAATTTTAAAGGGGTCATATGATGCGATTTCAATTTTTCCTTTCTCTTTGGAGTGTTACAAGCTCTTGGTGCATAAAGAAGATCTGTAAAGTTGCAAAGACTAAAGTCTCAAATCCAAAGAGATATTCTTTATAAAAGTTAAGAGTCAGCCACGCCCCCCTAAAACGCCTCATTTAAACACGCCCCCACGTCTACGTCACTGTGTGGGAAGATTTGCATATCTCCGCCCAAATGTTCACGCAAAGAAAGAAAGCGTAACTTTTATTCTCGCTGTAGTATTATTGCCGCCGCCATGTTGTGAAGACGCTGTGTGTTTCGTTACAGATTCTAGCCTACGTCTTGGAATATATGACTCAAATAAGAATTTTCACCGGATATTGTCATCTGAACTAGTAAGTAATAAGTCTGCCACGTTTGTTCTGACCAACTGAGGAAAAATGCATTACAATAAATCGCGCTACCAATTTTGATTTAATCTGAATTAGCTCATATCACATCAAACAAATTATTATTATTGTTACACTTTATTCTCAAATTGTTAATGTTAACAACATCAGCAGTACGTGACTATGATTATAGTGTGTATAAGTGAGTAGATTTCAATTTCTGTGCAGTCTAATCTCTAATTGTCAAACTCTTCGAATTTCATATTAAGAAATTCTTTTAACCCAAAAAGCAAATTATGCTCCCTTCGAACTGGTTTTCTTTCAAATACAAATCTTTGTAATCCCAGGCTATCTTTTTTTTAAAGCATGTTCATCAAGGCTGCATTTATTGGAGTAAAAATTGTGATTATTTTTAAATTATATCATTACAATTTAAAGCAGCTGTTTTCTATGTGAATATCTGTTAAATTATAATTTATTCCTGTGATGCGCAGCTGAATTTTCAGCATCATTACTCCAGTCTTCAGTGTCACATGATCTTCAGAAATCATTCTAATATGCTGATTTGCTGCTCAAGAAACATTTCTGATTATTATCAATGTTGAAAACAGTTGTGCTGCTTCATATTTTTGTGGAAACCATCATACATTTGATTTTTCAGGATTCTTTGATGAATAAAAAGTTGAAAAGAACAGCATTTATTTGAAAGAGCAAAGGCATTTATAATATTGCAAATGCATCCTTGCTGAATAAATGTATTAATTTAAAGAATAAATAGTATATAGAAATCAATAAAAATAAATATAAAAACATGAATATAAAATATAAACAAAATAAGAAATATTACTGCATTAATAATAATATTGTAGTGTTAAAAATAAAAAATGAGTTTATATATATATATATATATACAAATATATAAATGATTATAGATAGATAAAAAATACATGAAAATACAAGGTGTTCTTTAGAACGTTAAAAACACATACATACAGAAATTAAAATAATAGTAGCTTATTTCTATATATTTGTATTTAAAAAAAAAAAAAAGCATAAAAACAAAATAAAGTTACTCAATTTCTTCTGAAGTGAATAATGCCTGTATTATCAGTATTAGGAATCGGCTAATAATATTGCCTTCATTATTTGGGGGACAAAAGCCTTGTTCTAACGGCAGACTCGTGTCAGACACTGATGTGTTTGTGTGTTTGCTCACCTGGTTAGATGTCGACTGGACTCGTGCACCTCCATCTCTGTGCTTTTGAACTCGTTGAGTTCTTTGCGTATGGCAGCCTGAGAGAGACAAAATCACACCAAACTCAAAACCCATGAAAATCAGCCGCGCAGCGCTCAAACAGATCATCTGAGCAGCCGGTCCATGTCTAAACTGATATGATTTTCTACTAGTATCCTGCTCTTGTTTTCTAGTAAGAACACCTCATCCTTAAACTAGAAGCATTTTATTTCAGCAAACGTGTTTTCACAAAATCTCTCCTGAACGCGTACGCGTTTGTCTAGGGCTGAAAGTTTTAGAAGAAAAAAACTTTTTACCATATAAAAATTGTGATTGTCATTTTTATTTTTTGTGCTTATTTTGAAGGACTGCAAAATTCGTTTAAAAAAAAAAATCACATTGTGGTAATATAATAGTAATTATTGTTATGATTTTTATTATTAAACAAAACAATTTCACAAAATAAGAAATATTACTACTTTAATAATATTATTATACTGTAAAATAAAAAATGAGCATTAAAAAATTAGAATGGGAATAAAGTATATATATAAAATTTTAAGTGTAAAATTGTAGCACTATATATATATATATAAGTTGTGAATAAAAAAAATTACTGTAGTATGTTTCACAAGAAAATACTATTTCAGTTGTTCTACTTTTTTTATTTCAATTTTAGTTGAATTCAATGTGTGGACATTTCTTTCTAATTATGTGTGAAATTGATCAATTTACGAGCAATTTCTTTCCCGTGTGTATATATATATATTATTATTATTTATTTATTTATTTTTTGTAAAATTGTAGTACTTACTTCATATAATATATAAATAATATAATAATAATAGTAATTATTATTATGATTTTTATTATTAATATATATATATATATATATGTGTGTGTGTGTGTGTGTGTGACCCTGCCTGTGAAAACCCAGCTAAAGTCATTTTTTTGTGATTTACTGTTATCTACATAAAATCATCCTTCATAAAGATTTAAAACATTCTGTGAAAATTATAACCTTTGTATCTTTAATACTGACTGAGTAAGGCCATGTCAAAGATTGTAATCATAGTGAAAAAATCAAACTTTGATGCTTGTTATCTCATAATTAGATTTTAAGATTTAAGCCTGGATTTCACAAACAGGGTCACACATATACAGTGTATATATATATATATATATATAGTGTTTATTTTATGTGAAATTCTACTACTAACAATTGAACATTTATCCCTTAATTTTCTAAAGTGAAACAATCAAGCTTTTATTTGGTCAGAGAAGCTCAGCGTGATGGAGATGAACCTTATCCGCAGCAGTGAGTCTGGTCCAGGGTTTGTCTGCGCGCCGGTCGTAGTCCTGAGCTTCTGCCACCTCCACGTAATCGCTGAAGCGGATGAGAATCTTGGCCTCTCTGAGCTCCTCCACGGTGGGCCTCTGACTCAACTGAACACACACACACAGAGAAACACACTCCTGAAGATGTTGCGTAACTCCGATCGAATGTGTGCCGTGACCCAGAAGAGTTGGTTGCTACAGGAACATTTTGGGGCAGATCTCTGGCTCTCACCTTCCTGGAGAGCCGTTTCTTCAGCTCGCGCTTCTCCTCCAGCTCCTCCTGCTCGTTCCGCGCTGAACGAGAGAGAATCAGACACTCGATCATGCAGGTCACATGAACACCTCACAAGATCTCACAACTGGAAAAGTTTGCAAAATTTGTGAAATTAAATTTTTATTAGTCATTCAAAGATTTGTTTAAAAGATGTAAATGCGTATTTGCTGAATGCTGACGGCAAACGAGAAAGTATTATAATGTTTGCCTTTCTATTACTAATAATATAAAAGCAATCGTTATAATACTTTTTGTATACATTTTAATTCCTTGTTTAACAGTTCTATCGGATTATTAAACAGACTTCTATCCGTATAAGACAGAACTGTTAACAACGACGGCGAACAAGACGGCAAACACTGTGTGCTCAAAATAAAAGTCCCGCATCGAACGCATCAGCAAAACAGAAAAATGTATCGGCCAATGCCGATATTTGAAAAATACCAAATATCGGCCGATATATCGGCCTTGGCAATATATCGGTCAACCACTACACATGACGCTTTCCTCATGACACTCATGCTGCAGTGTGTGAGACGTACGTTTGAGGATGTTCCTCTGCTCCAGCTCTTCTGCTGATGGCCTCTGGCTCAGACGACTGGAAACAGATGGAAAAGCATTAAAACATCCCAATCTGATAATAAAGCAATTTATTGCTTTAAAATAACTCTGTGTGCATATTCAAATCAGGTATGTTCTGTTTCTGTAACACCTTATGTTTTTAATTACAAGTATTATTTTTGCAATGAAGTGGAAACATTTTCTGATAAATATTTTGATGCATTTACAAGAAATCAAAGGAATGAAGGCAAATTATAAAAATATTAGAAATAACGATAAAATATATATTATCTAGATATTAAAATATAAAACATGCAATTTATAGTGCAGTTAATAATGAACTGAAATGGTAATGTCACTGGGTAAATAACACTAACATTAAAAACAGTTATTAATGCGACTATATATAAAATATCTCTTTTTTTATGTTCTTCCAACCAATATAAATTAATGCATTGATTATGGAATCTAACAATTAATTACAAAAAAAAAAACATGTCTAATGCATTCATATTTCACTGAAACATTTAATAAAGAATCAGAATCAAATCATTGTGCAAACACTGTAGACTTTATCATCAGGCCTCAATATACATTAATACATTCAATTGAATGCAATAATTTACATAAAAATCACTTTACAAATTATTTGCATCTATTTGCAAACTATGTGCATCAATTTAAATGTTTATTTAATTGAGTTTAATATGAATGGTTTATTATTAATTCCATAATAATACAAATGTAAAATTTCAATAAATAATTAAAAAATAAAAACAATCAACATAAAACACTTATTAAAAAAGACAACATGTTTGATTTATTCACTTGCGTGTTGTGATGATTAACCAACTTTAGAGAACTGTGAACATGCAAATGTGTTGTTAAATTATTGAAATTATTAAAATTAAAATTAGGGATGCACCGATCCGATACATTTTTTGTCGGATCGGATATCGGTCGGACGAGATCGTGACACGTTCAGTTACGACAGTCAAGACAATGAAACTCTCTCCAAGAGCACAGTAACTGAAATTTAAATCTGTTAAAAGAAAAGGCTCAATAAACTATTGCACAGATATAATATACTACGCATCAATATCTCTTCTATTTGTGCTTTCTATCCGGAGCGCTGCGCGCTGTGACTCAGTGTTGCTTCAAGTGCATCATTCTGCGCACGGGATGCGCATAAACGCTTTGTGCCGCTCTGTATTGGAGCCTTTCATGTTATAATACTTTTGCGCAATGAAAGATTATTATTAGCCTTTCTTGTTCTGTCCTATCTATCATATGTTGCTGCCTCCATTACTGTGCTATACATTTAAAAGAAATGTCTTTTAATTTTATAGTATCTATTTATATATAAATATTTACTTGTTTTTCATAAATGTATTTTACAACAATACAAAGAGCAATGTAACATTTTACCAGATTTAGTCCTACACTTATTCACTTTTATTTGTTCTCCACTAAATAATGTTATTTCACTAAATGTTTAGATTTTATAAAATTATTGTGCACTCATGATTTTTCTAGAATAACTTTTGCTGCTGAATTATCCACTAACCTATTTTATAATAGTATTTTTTGTCATAGATTATGATTATATATTTTTTTCATTAGTTATTTTTCTTTAAAATGAAGCTGTCTATATTTAGTAGATTGTGTTTAACACACAAAACAGTGATGATCAGGTCAACACACTGAGGTATAGAAATTCTACATTGATTAAAAAAAAACAGTGCTGGTATCGGATCGGTATCGGTATCGGCCGATACTCAGAATTTTTGGTATCGGATCGGATTGGATGTGAAAAAAATGGTATCGGTGCATCCCTAATTAAAATCTCAGGGGGATTTTAAGTAAATATTTAACATCAAAGGGGTTCAGCTGACAAAAAAAACCGTTTGTTTGGTTATTTTAGTATAATTGAGATACTGTTTTATTTTTTTTATTAATTATTAATAAATATTACTTATTAATATTTTTAATTAGTTTTTAATTTAATAATGTTTTCATTTTAATTTTTGTTAAAGTTTTACCAATTTTGTTTTTTAAATATGTCTATATAGCTTTTATTACTTTTTTCCAGTTTTAGTTGTAATTATTTTAGTACATCGAGTTAAAGTGCGTGCGTGCGTGTGTGTCTGAGTGTGTGTGTGTCGCGCGCTTGTGTGTGTGTGTGTGGGTGTGTGTGTGAGTGTGTGTGTGTCTCCTCACCGGGTGAGTTTGGTGCCGATCTGCTGTCTGGACTCCAGCCGCTCCTGGTCGGTCATCATGGGTAGGATGTTTTTATCTTCCAGTTCTCTCTTCGACGGGCGATTGCTCAGTTTGATCGCCAGCGAATCTTTCCGTAAGATTCTTAAAGCGAGTGTACCTGCACGCACACACACACACACACACACACACACACACACAGTACGAGTTCACGTAAACACACACACACACACATCACATGCTGTATTTCCCGCCAGATATCTTACTTGTAAACAGAGAGTCGTCGTCATCCTCCTCTTCCTCGTCCTCTTCCTCGTGCATGTTGAAGGTGTGTGTGATGAGTGTGTGTGTGTTGGCAGGAGTTTGGTGCATTGAATCTCTGTTCTCCTTCTCCTCTTCCATCTCCATCAGGACAGATGGCACCGCCTGCAGTACAGAGCTACACACACACACACACACACACACACACTGTTCTTTTAGTATTACTTATCTATTATAGTTTTATATATATTTTGAATTAGCTTTTATTTATTTTTTTCAGTTTCATTTTAATTTTAGTTAAAATTTTAATAATTTTATGTGCTTTTGTAATTTTTTAAATAGTACTATTTAGGTTTCCGTTATTTTCTTTTCAGTTTTAGTTTTAGTTTTTATTTTATTTCCAATTAGTAATTTTAGTGGTTCAAATTAAGCTAAATGAAAATTAGAAATGTTGCAATAGTTTTTCAATATTAACATTTTATTTCAAATAAATACTATATAGAAATGTTTAAAAAAACATTTTTTTTTTAAATAAATAAATACATACATAATGACAAAAACAACAAAATTACTAAAACATTTACTAAAATTTACATGAAAATGTAAAAATAATATCTAATTCATAATATTAACAAAATAATATAATAGTATGTCAATGATACTAAAATGAAATACTCTGTGTGTGTGTGTGTGTGTATACGTGCATGAGTGTGCGTGTGTGTGTGAGTTTGTGAGTGTGTGTGTGTGTGTGTGCTCGAGTGCATGTGTGTGCGTGTGTGTGTGTGAGTGTGAGTGTGCGTGTGTACGTGTGTGTGTGTGCATGTGTGTGTGAGTTTGTGTGTGTGTGTGCGCGCGTGCGTGCGTGCGTGTGTGTGTGTGTGTGTGTGTGTGTGTGTGTGTCTGTGTGTGTGTTAGAGTGAGTGTGAGTGTGTGTGTGTGTGTGTGTACTGGTATATATGGTTTATGAGGACACAAATGTCTATAATGACATCCGTAAACATGGTTTATAAGGACACTTCCAGTGTCCCCGTAAAAGAAAAGGCTTAAAAAACATACAAAACTGTGTTTTATGAAATTCAAAAATTGCCAGTAGTTTTCTATGAGGGGTAGGTTTAGGTGTAGGGCTATAGAAAATACAGTTTGTACAGTATAAAAACCATTACGCCTATGGAGAGTCCCCACAAGGATAGTGAACCTGACTGTGTGTGTGTGTGTGTGTGCTCACCTCTCGAGTCTCTGCATGGTGAACGCCAGGGTTTTATTGAGCTCCTCTATGATGCGGCTGGGCGGGTGCAGTGACAGTGGCAACGTGGCGTACTGCTGCGGGTGCATGTGTGTGAGTGTGTGTGTGTGTGCGTGCGAGCCCTGGGACGGTAGGCATTTGAGGGGAAACGAGGGCGCCGGCTCACATATCATCACTTTCTTTGGAGGAAGGGGCGGCGACAGTCGAGCCAGCATCTCTGAAGAGAAGACGAGACAGAGTTTAGTTCTGCGCAAAGGTTTCGGTGAGAGTCGGAGGAGCGGCGCAGGCGTCACCTGTGAGATGGTTGGGTATCCTGCTGTATGGCTTCGGCGGTAAGGCAGGAGGCTGTTTCAGCGACGACGGCCTCACGTGAGTGATGTTAGCGCTGTCGCTAGGCAACGGCACGGGCTTCACAGAGGCTTGAGATGGCTTTGGGATGAGATCCGAGAGACACGCCACAGTTTCACCAGACACTGGAGCACACAAGAGAGAACAGCACATCATTTCAGATTTCAGACGGTCCAAAATATCATATATAATATTATTTTAGTAATTAAAATATTTATAAATATACTTGTGTATATATATATATACATATATACACACAGCAGAGTATGTGGCGGAGTGGAGAGACAACAATTTCTCCACTGCACTCCAAGCATTCAATAATCACTCCGCTCCGCCTTCGCTCCATGACGAAATTTGCGGCTAAAGTATTTCAGTATGTTTTGAGATATCACAAACTTCTACTCAGAACTTCTATCAAACTAAAAATAAATACACAATACTAGAAGAATAGATTTAACGTGATTTATTGGAACACTACAGTTGTTAGCCCAAGTCTGTGTTAAATGACTGTTTGACTCACTTGTCTGTGCAGCGTCTCTCTACTATGGCGAAGAGGGTTGTAGTTACTTCAGAAACAGAAAGAATATGCTGTAACTTTTCCGTTTTTAAGCTGATGAATCACAGGACAGCGTAGGGCTGGACGATATGGCCAAAATTGATATCACAAGCTCTGCTAGCAGGAGGCGCTTTTAGAGTGATAGAACTAGCGGTTTCTCCAGTAATGGCTGTAATCAAAGCAGCTCCGCTCATGAACGCTTCTTTATCAGATCAAATGAAAATGCCATCGAAACTTTTCTGAAGACAGTCGGTTCCCTTCACAGATACATTTATATAAAACACCCGCGACATTTTTTGATTTTGAAACGTGCAGTGCTCATGTTTATTCAACGAAGTCAAACGGCACAAATAAATCAATGTATGGGAAACTGGTAATGTATATCGAAATATCGGAAAAGTGTTTAAAAATCATATCACCGTTATTGAAAAAAATTATATCGCGATACATATTGATATTGAATTATTGTCCAGCCCTAGGACAGCATTGACAATTTTCTGCACTCCTGACTGTTTCTATGTGTGCGTGATCTGTACGTTATGCGCGAGCTTGTGTGTTGTAGCAGGCAGCACATTAGTTTAGAGCGGAGATTAACTACCTGTACAGTAAACTGTTTAAAACATGAATTCGCCCAATCTGCATTGAGTATCCACATGCTACAAACAAACATGCCTGAGATATCACCTCCCGCACTCGTCCATCACCATCTATATAACCTTCACCTTCTTTCTGATTTGAGTGATCCACATATCTGTCAATGATGTGTAATGCGTGAATTCTTGATCAAATGCAGATCTATTATGGGCTGTTGGCATTAATTGTGCTCGTGATGGAGTGGTAGTGGAGCGACTGAAAACCACGACTTTCAAAAAAATCCACTCCACTCCGCTCACATACTCTGATACATGCACAAATTTTGGAAACTATTTTTATAATAAGAACTATTATTATTACCAATGACTGAGCAGCAGATCAGCATATTAGAATGATTTCTGAAGGATCATGCGACACTGAAGACTGGAGTAATGATTGGAGCCGATATGATACCGATATTAGGGAGCAAAAAAAAAGCCGATATCGATATATCGGCCGATATCCTTTGTGTATATTATAGTACAGTACCAGTCACAAGTTTGGACACTTTCCCATTGGTGTGTCCAAACTTGTGACTGGTACTATATATATAATACAGTATATACATAATCAATATATACTGTATACATAAACACTCACTCAAATGTGGTGATCAAACACTTATAATGATGTGACAAAGATATGTGATGGAGGCAGGGCATTTAACAATTTAACAATAAACTTTATTATCCAAAATGAGTCT